CACCAGCATATGGTCTCACAAGGGGTCTGAAGGTCTCATCTCGGTACCTAATGGCAGTCAGGCTACCTCTGGTGAGCACATGGAGGGCTGTGCAGCCCCTTAAAGAAATGCCACCCCACACCATTACTGACCCACTGCCAAACCGGTCATGCTGGAGGAGGTTGCAGGCAGCAGAACATCCTCCACGGCGTCTCCAGACCCTGTCACGTCTGTCACATGTACTCAGTGTGAACCTGCTTTCATCTGTGAAGAGCACAGGGCGCCAGTGGTGAACTTGCCAATCTTGGTGTTCTCTGGCAAATGCCAAACGTCTTGCACGGTATTGGGCTGTAAGCACAACCCCCACCTGTGGACATCGGGCCCTCATACCATCCTTATGGAGTCTGTTTCTGACCGTTTGAGCAGCCACATGCATATTTGTGGCCCGCTGGAGGTCATTTTGCAGGGCTCTGGCAGTACTCCTCCTGTCACTCCTTGCACAAAGGTGGAGGTAGCGGTACTGATGCTGGGTTGTTGCCCTCCTACGGCCTCCTCCACATCTCCTGATATACTGGCCTGTCTCCTGGTAGCGCCTCCATGCTCTGGACACTACACTGACAGACACAGCAAACCTTCTTACCACAGCTCACACTGATGTGCCATCCTGGATGAGCTGCACTACCTGAGCCACTTGTGTGGGTTGTAGACTCCGTCTCATGCTACCACTAGAGTGAAAGCACCGCCAGCATTCAAAAGTGACCAAACCATCAGCCAGAAAGCATAGGAACTGAGAAGTTCCACCTGCAGAACCACTCCTTTATTGGGGATGTCTTGCTAACTGCCTATGCTTTCTACCTGTTGTCTATTCCATTTGCACAACAGCATGTGAAATTGATTGTCAATCAGTGTTGCTACCTAAGTGGACAGTTTGATTTCACAGAAGTGTGACTGACTTGGAATTACATTGTGTTGTTCAAGAGTTCCCTTTATTTTTTTTGAGCAGTGTATATAGTCAATATGTACATTAATGATAGCTAGCTAGAGGGAGAAATAGATGATGGATGATAGATGGTAGATAGATGATAGATAGATAGATAGATAGATAGATAGATAGATAGATAGATAGATAGATAGATAGATAGATAGATGATAGATAAATAGATAGACAGACACAGACAGACAGACAGATAGATATAGGAATAGGGGAATAGACAGAGAGATAGAGATACAAAGATAGACCAGCATTAACCCTGACGATGTCAGAAGCATCTGACGAAAGCTTGGTGATCGGTGATGGTATTAAACTTTTATAGTTTATTATATTCCTGGTGTTCACGTTTTATTGGTAATTGACTATGGATTCACCCAGGAATCATATTTTTATTTTCACTATTCTTATTAAAGATATATATATATATATATATATATATATATATATATATATATATATATATATACTATATGTTTTCTGAGGTTTTCGGGGTATTTGTATGTAGGTCTTTGGTTGTTCGGGTTTTTTCCCACGTAAAATTGGAAGTGTCTTGGCGACGTTTCGACGAAGTCCCATTCGTCATCTTCAGGCTGGTGCTTTCAGCTTCGTGCCTCGAGCAGCAATTTTACGTGGGAAAAAAACCCGAACAACCAAAGACCTACATATATATATATATATATATATATATATATATATATATATATATATATAGTAAATATTTAGTGAATCAAGCATTAATCAATGTATATTCTTAAAGCAATAAACTATTTTGGACAAAAAGAACAAAAATATTAAAATAATATAATTCTAAATATGTTCAGAAATGAATTCCAAACATTACGTTTGATACTAACATAATATACTTCACCTGTTTTCCAGATCTATTCACGATACAGGCAAAAAACATGAACTACCCAACTTTTCATATGCAGCATATCCACCAGATAGTTATGGATACTTATTGATAACAGACAGTACCAGTGATATGTATAATTTTTGCAACTGCTTAAAACTTTTGTGTTCTAGATTCCCTTCTTGGTGATCTAACAACTCATGGTGATCATGAGATACAGCATGTTCTGAACTGCAGGTTTTTTTTGTAAACTTCTGAAAAAAGCTATAACACAATGGTGAATGCATTTCAATAGATTTGTTCAATCTGTTGCTAGTTATTTATATTTCTTTAAATAAAACAATGAGTTCATAAATTTCTTCTTTAATAACAAGAGGACAATATAGCATCTTCTATTCTAAAGAAAGAATTTACAAAACACACAAAAACTAGGCAACCTAGGACGAATTTAAATATCTTACTGACGGTTCTTTGAAAGTATTGACTCACTGAAAAAACATTTTTAATCTGTGACATTTTCTTTTTGCATTTCTTTCATATTTCCCTTTGTCTGCGATAGCCACCTGCTTGCTCTCATAAGGTCAGGATGCTTTCCTCTGCGGCTGGACTATCATCACACACAATAAGGGCCCTTTTATAGATATAGTAACTTAAGCTTCCTTTTTATTGAAAGCATCAGGCTTTGTAAAAAGTAATGCAGTAGCTTGAAATAGCAACAGGAAACGCTTTCTGGCTAAAGACAGCACAGAGCTGCCCTTTCCCAAGCAATAGTCACATTTCTTTGTCCCAAGCAATGTAGGATTTTCCCTAGTTAGTGACCAGACCAGCCCAAATTAGGTCACAGTTTTCTTCCCTCAGCAATCACTCTCCACCCCATCTCCTTGATTGACATATGATATTCAGTAAAAGCAGCCTCTCCCAAGAACGTATGTATTGATAAAGGAGCTCAGGGCTGAAATGAAATGTCCTTGGTGCTCTCTGAGCTTGGTTGTTTTCTTGCAAACATTTCATTACCCAAACTAGGTGGCTTCATCAGAGCTAGTTCATCATCTAGCACAGATGCTATTATCTAGTTTGGGTAATGAAATATTTGCAAGAAAACAACCAAGCTCAGAGAGCACAAAGACCCCTCACACACACACACACACAAACACACACACACACACATATATATATATATATATTCAAAAGATAAAAACGAGCACCAGGAGATAAAACAATTAAATGTTTAATAAATAGATAACCTAGCTTTCGATGGCTGTATTGCTGCCATCATCGTCAGGGTGTTAAAAGCCAGAGGGTGGGGGAGCTCGTTTATAAGCCCAAACGAGCTTATAAACACGGCTCATAGACCTCGTTATGGGGCCCGGTCGATTGATCCTCCCATCACTCATGTCGGATGTATTTATTTATATATATATATATGTACACACACACACACTGAAAAACCAAATTTAGCTAACAATGTCTGTGTCTGGATGTATAGATTCCACTAAATCATGGTGCATTATAGAATTAATTATAGAATTAATTTTATAGAATTAATCACACTAGTTGTCACTAGGCCACAGACCTCAGTTTACCATTAATAGTTCAAACCAAAACAAGGCAAATCAAACAGATCTTAAACCCAGAATATGAACCAAGCCTCTTTTCTCTCAATGGAGGTCAACAGGAGATGAGCATGCTACTGAAATAAAATATTACATAAGAAAAATTAGTTTAGTGCCAATTCTTGGCATATCCAGTAAGTCACTACTTCTGTTAAAGTACAGCTAAATTCCAAAACTGCATACCTCATAGGAGGTATCATAGCAACCAATAAAAATATTGGTATTAAAATACTTATTTACAAACGTTTTAGAGACAGTCAACTTACAACAATTCGGTGACCATTCAAAGTTATAACGGCACTAGAATCAGAATTAATCAAAGATTGTATGCTTAAATGGGCACAAAATTTTGGTGAACCAGTTCTATTGGATACCTGGGAAATTATCTGGGTGAGAAATGTTAAATTTACGCAAGCCCAGAACTTAAGGGAGAATTTTTATAAAATGTTTTATAGATGGCACCTTGATCCACAAAAAATGTCTCGTATGTATCCTGACTTACAGCCTAAATGTTGGAGATGTGGATGTTTGGATGCTACTTACTATCATATCTGGTGGTCATGTAAAAATATAAAAGCTTTTGGATTAAGATATGGTGGAATATTCAAAGAATTTTTAGAAGGAGGGTAAAATTTACCCCACAATTATTTTTGTTAGGTAGTGTTACTGATTGTGATACTAAAGAGATTATATTGATGTTAAATTTAATTACAGCCGCAAGGCTGTTAGTAGGGCAATATTGGAAGAAGGAATCTTTGCCTACCTTACAAGAGTGGTTTCTTAAAGTTTCTTATCTGGCGGAAATGGCAAAGATTTCGGCTTTTTTAAAGGAGCAATCACAAGAGAAATTTTTTGCCGTATGGGAAAAATGGATAAATTTCATACAATATAAATTGGTTATAAAAAATACCATTTAGCTTTTTCATAACTTGTATTTAAATTTGATATTTTATAGATTGTATTCTTTCTTTCTTTTCTTTTCCTTTATTTCTTTTTTTATTTTTTTCTTTCTTTCTTTTTTAAGTATTTTTTTAATGTATATTAATTTTTTTTTAGAATTTTTAAAATTTTAATTAAGCCTATATTCAGCTCTGGGAAGCTCGGGGGGGGGGATGAAGGGGGGTGGCTTGGGAGGGTTTGGGGAGGGTTGTTTTTTGTTGTTTTTTTTGTTTTTTGTAAAACTTTTAAAAAATTTTCAATAAAAAATAAGTTATAACGGCACTAACAAAAATGACTTATCACAATTTTTCAACATGTCATTATAGCAAACCCCGTGATCATGTGTTCAAAATTCGTACGCTTGGCAACTGGTTAATATTTATGACGGTTGCAATGTCCTGGGATCATGTGATCACCTTTAGGGACCATCTGGCGAGCAAAGTCAATAGGGAAGCCGGATTCTCTTAACAACTGTGTTACTAACTTAACATCTGCAGTGATTCACTTAACAACTATCTTGCTTAGCAACAGAAATGTGGGGATCCATTGTAGTCGTAAGTCGAGGAATACCTGTATTGACACGATATTTCAGATGATGCTTAAAAGGTTTTTTAAACATGCTTACCCGAGAGATAGTGAGAGGCATGTTGAAGTCCTTCCCACCTTGGAGCCTGAATCCCCAAGGAGCTGGACCCACCAGTGAAACACTGTAGTTATTCATGGTCTTCTGCAGTAATTCTCAGGGGAACAATCTGTAAGAGACATTTGAAGATTCTGAATGCTAAAGATACAACCCAAGTGTCCATAAGCAGCTCAGATGCTAATGTTCTGACTGGGTTCATGCATTGCACTCACCACAGTGGCTAATCCACCTTATGTCTTAGTACAAGGCATATATAATCTAGATTCTAGGTAAATCACAAGCTTCCCTCAAAATGTATAATGGACAACCATGCAATCAACTTTCATTTTCTTCCAGGAATCTTGAATGGGGAGAAAAGGGGGATGTGTTTTAATTATTTGTTGAATGTGCCATAATGACTGGATTCATACATCACGCTAGCCTGAACCAAAGAAAGCACTTAGCAGAAAGTATAATTCAAGCCAGTCTATTTTCTTTCTTCTAAGGAAGGAGATCTCTCTCTTCCTGTCTATTCTGGAATATACAAACAATTCGGATACAGAATGAAATATCTTTTATAGAGTTGTGGATACTGTTAAATTTAAGTTGTGGATATTTAGAGATTCTAGCTAAGCATGTCTTAAATTTATTCTGCATTTTACTCCTGAAATCTATTTTCAGAACAAATTTAGTAATAGTAATAGTAGTAAAGTTGGAAGGGACCTTGGAGGTCATCTAGTCCAACCCCCTGCTCGGGCAGGAAACCCTACACCATTTCGGACAAATGGCTGTCCAGTCTCTTCTTAAAAACTTCCAGTGTTGGAGCATTTACTGCTTCTGGAGGCAGGCTGTTCCACTGATTAATTGTTCTCACTCTCAGGAAGTTTCTCCTTAGTTCTAGGTTGCTTCTCTCCTTGATTGGTTTCCACCCGTTGCTTCTTGTCCTGCCTTCAGGTGCTTTGGAAAATAGCTTAATTCCCTCTTCTTTATGGCAGCCCCTGAGATATTGGAATACTGCTATCATGTCCCCCCTTGTCCTCTCTTCGTTAAACTAGACATACCCAATTCTAGCAACCGTTCCTTATATGTTTTAGCCTCCAGTCCCCTAATCATCTTTGTTGCTCTTCTCTGTACTCTTTCTAGAGTCTCAACATCTTTTTTACATCGTAGTGACCAAAAATGGATGCAGTATTCCAAGTGTGGCCTTATCAAGGCATTGTAGAGTGGCATTAATACTTCACGTGATCTTGATTCTATCCCTCTGTTAATGCAGCCTAGCACTGTGTTGGCCTTTTTGGCAGCTGCAGCACACTGCTGGCTCATATTTAGGTGATTGTCTACTAGGACTCCGAGGTCCCTCTCACAGTTACTACTATTGAGCATGGTGCCACCTATGCTGTACTTGTGCATTGGTTTTTCTTGCCTAAATGTAGAACCTTGCTTTTTTCACCATTGAATTTCATTTTGTTAGTTAGTGCCCAGTGTTCAAGTCTGTCCAGATCCTTCTGTATCTGAAGCCTGTCTTCTGGAGTGTTGGCTATTCCTGCCAGCTGGGTGTCGTCTGCAAATTTGATGAGTTCCCCATCTATCCCTTCATCCAAATCGTTGATGAAGATGTTGAAGAGTACTGGGCCCAGAACAGAGCCCTGGGGCACCCCACTACACACTTCCCTCCATATAGATGCAGTTCCATTGAGGACCACTCGCTGAGTACGGCCGGTCAGCCAGATACGGATCCATCTGGTGGTGGTTCTGTCTACCCCACATTTTTCTATCTTGTCAAGTAGTAGGTTGTGATCTACTTTATCAAATGCCTTACTGAAGTCCAAGTACATTATGTCCACAGCATTCCTCTGATCCACTAATTTTGTCACTTGGTCAAAGAATGCAATAAGATTTGTCTGGCATGATCTATTTTTGACAAACCCAGGTTGGCTTTTAGTAATGACTTTGTTTGCCTCTAGGTGTTCGTTGATTCGTTGTTTGATTATCTTTTCCAGGATCTTCCCAGGTATTGAGGTCAGGCTGATAGGTCTGTAATTTCCTGGATCCATTTTTTTTCCTTTTTTGAGGATGGGAACTACATCAGCTCTTGTCCAGTCCTCTGGTAGTTCTCCTGTGTTCCAGGATCTTTGAAAAATATAGTTCAGTGGCTCCGATATCACATCTGCCAGTTCCTTGAGAACTCTGGGGTGTAATCCGTCTGGTCCTGGCAATTTGAACTCATCTAGGCTGGACAGGTGCTCACTAACGATTTTCTTGCCTATCTTAACTTGTGTTTCTGTTTTGTTTTTTATGGCACTATTTTTGATAGGTTGGTCTGTTTTTTTCCCTTTGTGTAAAGACAGATGCAAAAAATGAGTTAAATAGTTCTGCTTTCTCCCTGTTGCTTGTCACCTTCTTGCCACTTCCACCCACTAATGGACCAATCATTTCCTTCACTTTTTTCTTGTTTTTTACATGTTGAAAGAAGCTTTTTTGTTATTTTTGACTTTGGTCGCAAGCCTTAGTTCATTTTGAGCCTTGGCTTTCTTCACTTCATTTTTGCAGGCTCGGGCTATTTGCTGATATTCTGACTTAGTTATGTTCCCCTCTTTCCACTTTCTATACTTGTCCTTTTTATCTTTCAATTTGTCAGAGAGTTCTTTATGCAGCCATGCTGGTTTCTTTTGAGAGCTGTTATTTTTCCTCTTTGTTGGTATTGTGCTAGACTGTGCTTTTAGTATCTCATTTTTCAAAATTTCCCAAGCTTCTTGAGTTGTTTTCCCCTTGAGGATTCTCATCCATGGAATCCTTCCCAAGCCCTCTCTAAGTTTATTGAAATTAGCTCTCTTGAAGTCCAAGACTCTAGTTTGACTGTGTTCTATTGGTTGTGCTTCTATAAGGTTGAATTCTAATATTGCATGATCACTTCCTCCCAGGGTTCCTATGGCTCCAACACCGTCTATCATTTCATCTCTGTTAGTGAGAATTAGATCCAAAATGGCTAATCCCCTAGTTCCATTCTCTACTTTTTGGGAGACAAAGGTGTCTGCTAGGTTTGCCAGGAACCTGTTTGATCTTCCACTTGGTGCGGAGTTTGTCTCCCAGTTGATGTCAGGGTAGTTAAAGTCCCCCATTACTATTGTGATGTGCTTCCTACATACCTTAGTTAGCTGACTAGCAAAAGTTCATCTATTTCCTCTGTTTGGTTGGGTGGTCTGTAGTATACACCTATGGCAATGTCATTTCCCCCCCCTTTTATATTGACCCAAATGCATTCAAGACAGTTTTTATCATTGTTGTACTCTATTTCTGTGGAGATGTAGTTATTTCTTATATAGAGAGCAACTCCACCTCCTCTTTTATTTGGTCTGTTTCTTTTAAATAATTTAAATCCCTCTAGCTGTGTGTTCCATGTGTGAGCTTCATCCCACCATGTTTCCGTAATGGCAACAATATCGTATCTGCCCTCATTAACCTGAATTTCTAGTTCACCCTGTTTGCTGTTCATACTTTGTGCATTGGTGTATAAACATTTGAGTCCTTTGCTCAAGAAGAAGAAAAATGAAAAATAAAGAAGTGGATGGTAATATGCTGATGAAATTAGGGCTGGGCATTTTTAAATTCTGAGATGAAAACGTGTTTGAAGGTTTTTTATATACCAATTTTCTGCTGTTTAATGGCACTATAATAATACAAGTAATGCAACATTAGCACATTTATGTTTGTATGGGGGGAGGGGCAATTCATAACCTGAAAAAGGAACTTCAGAGACTTCATATGAGTTGAAAGCTGAGAAGCACTAATTCTGACTAAGATATTATTCATGATTTCACTGGCTACTGTGTTCTTGCTTGCATGGAGACTGTAAAAAAGGAAGCTGTTCTCAAAAATCAGAGCAAGGTTGAAAATGCCCATTTTTCATTTGAAAGATCATGGAAAGCGAAGGATCAGTTATTCTCTTATAAAGTGAAAATGCTTCATGTGGATACATTATAAAAATGCCTGATGTTTGCCCAAAATAAGATGGGCTGAAAACCCAGCAGATAAAATTTTCTAGATATCATTTGTTCTCTTTCTGCAACTCTGATATCACCCAGGACGAGAATTCCAACAATTCAAGTTAGCTTCCATTGTGGTATGAAGGTCTATCCTTAATAAGGTTAAGTCATAGCTTATTATTATTATAGCTTAAGTCATGGAAGAGACTGGACAGCCACTTGTCTGAAATGATATAGGGTCTCCTGTTTGAGCAGGGGGCTGGACTAGAAGACCTCTAAGGTCCCTTCCAGCTCTCTTCCAATTGATTATTTAGCCATGGCTTGAGGACTGTGTCAGGACTTGGCCTAAACCAGTGTTTATCAACCTTGACAATTTTAAGGCATGTGGACTTCAACTCCCAGAATTCCACAGCCAGCATTGCTGACTGTGGAATGCTAGGAGTTGAAGTCCACATGCCTTAAAATTGTCAAGGTTGAGAAACACTGGCCCTAAACTATTTTGGTCATTAAACAATGAACCTGATAGGAAAGTGTTAACTCCACCTCTGCCTGCTGGAAGGCAGGGCTTAAGACTTCTTCTTCCTCCATGAGGAAATCTGCTCTTTTCATATGCAAATATTGACTTCAACAGAGTGTGATTTGGCCTTTTCTTTACTGAAACTCAGTCTAAACACATCACAATTACAGATGGCAAGTGTCATTGTAATCTGATCTCTAGTTACGGGTATCTCCTTTCAATCCATTCTCTATGGAAAGCAGAATTAAGGTTGAGGGGAGAGGTCTGTTTTGGAAAGTAGAAAAGCTCTACTCTCTATCAGGAAGAGATATAGTTAACTCTTTCCTGTTGGTTCATCTTTTAGTGATGGAGAATGACTGTGTTTTTTTCCTTGCATTAAGCCACAAACCATGATTTACGATCAAAACACACTATAACTTAGCTGAAGGCTCTCAGTGCGGACTAAAGAATAAGCAGTATGCCAAATAAGCTTTTTAGTCTTTCCAGCCTAACAGAATGTTGGAAATAAATTAAAAGAGGTTGGTTTCTATCTGTCTAGCTATCACAGAATAACTGTCCAAAAACCGAAGTGCCTAAATTTAGTATAGAGGGAAGTGCCAGCAAAAGAAAGCTGGAGTTCAAAAATAGGCCAAATAACATTACAGGGGCTGTGAAGGAACCTCTCATAAAATACTTTCGCAGTGCATAACTAGCAGAGCAGGCATTGAACAGCCCCTCCAAATGTTGCTAACAGTTCCATTCTAAAGCACACTCACCCATACTAACACACTTGTAGTTTCCTTTCTATAGTTATGACCCACCTTGGACCATATGCAGCCTGCCTTCCAAATGTGCCTATGCAGAGGCAACCTGTTATTTCATGACAACAACAAAAATGCAGGAGCTTTTATAGCCATTGTTGGCAAAAGGGTTGGAAGTAATTCCAGGGAAGGTTAGTTTGCATGTTTTTTTCCTATCTTGTTTTTTCTTTCCAACTTAACATAATGTTAAAAAGAAATTATGGAAAGGGGCTCTTGATTCTGTCTAGACATTAGCAGAATAATTGTTGAAAAGAGAATAAAATAAGACCAACTCTGTGGTGAGGAAAGAAATCAGCAAAAGACTAAGTTCAAAAATGGGCCAGATTTGACTAGGAACTGGAGGGGGGGAAAATCCAATCTCTCCATGACACCCTCATTCTAAGACCCTTTGTGGTCATGTGACCACAGTAAAACAACTGTGTCTAAGTGCTATTGCTATCCTGCAAGCATGATATTTTACAATGGTTTTGCAAAAACTGGCACTTACTTCCCCATTTTTATCTTTTAAAAAATATATTTATCTTTATGGATTTAATAACTGCTACCAATAGTGGAATAAGGATAAGCAATAATAAAATTTGTTAAGTTTTTCAATTAATTAAAGCCTTCAAAGAAGTATTTGGCCTACCTCTTGCAATACAGTGCAGCAATTGATGCATGTCACTTACATCAGAGGTTCCCAACCTTTTGGGCACCAGGGACCATGGAGAGAGGTTTTTCCCTGGACTGGAGGGGGGCTGGTTTTGTGTGGTACCTGCATCCTGTGGATGGAACTTTCCTTGTTTGTGCGGACTGGTTGTTGGCATGCTACGGCCCAGTACTGGTCCACAGACTGGGGATTGGGGACCCCAACTTACATAATACAATGACATTAAGCAAGTGAAGTATTTTTTTACAAGCAGCCAAGCTATAATTTTTAGAATGGAAAGATCTGGCTTTTCTCCTGGCCCAGATCTCAAATAAGTTACAATGCTATAATATTTTCTAGGTCGAAAATATGTGTCTCTTACATATCTTTGCATATTTTATAACACTAAAAATAAAACCAGAGCAGAAATGGTTGTAAAGTTATTTAATACCTAAGATGGAAGGTCAGTTAAGTAGCGTGGGTGAACCATAGTTTTTTGAAGAATATTTATTTTAGATGAATGTACAGTAGTTGGCAAATCAACAAAACTAGAAACCCTGCTTAGGACTGATCAGAATGCCAATTTAAAATACAATTTTATTGTTAAATTTGTATGCCACCCAACTTGTAACAACTCTGCACAATCTTTTAGTATGATACATATCTAAAGGTATCTCCAAGAGAAATATACTTGGACAAATTTTTTTTTTTAAAAAAAAAATACAGTCTTGAAATAGCAACATTCTAGTGGCTGTTTGATATTTGATGCCTCAGTCATAGAATCAAGAGAGAGCGTGTTTACACATCTGCTGAGTGGTACCTTGTCGAGTCCTAGTCTGTTGAACAAGCAACCATTTGCAACACAGTATTTGCAAATGGTAAGCCATAACCAATTGACCATCCAATAATTAGGATCATAATATTGCATGAACCTGACAGATAGCTAGGAATGCAGGCAGAACTTCAGAGGGATAGCAAGGCCTGTCAATCAGTTCTTGGCCACAGTCTTTCAGAAGCCTATCTGTTCCCTTTGTATGAATTAATGGATTGAAAAACCATCTTATTAATTAAGGCTAACTGATTTTGGATAACTTGTAATAAATGTTTGGAATAACATACGGAAATCACTAGAATTTATTGCATAAACACACTAGCATACAACTATTATAAACAGTCTATCTCAGTGCAAAAGTTACTTGACATTAATGAAACACTTTTAAAAGTTTCTTGGAAATGGAAATTTTTTCTTCTAGCCTTAGATATCATTTGATGATTTTTAGCATGCAGGTCTGGGGGGGGGGAAGCAGGGAGTCTGGAGATAATCAAATATTAAATATCACTAGTGGTTCTTAAATCCATAATCCTGTCTATTCTAGGACATTGTTTATAGCTTCCAAGTGCTTATTCTCATTCCATTCACAAGCATATACTTAATATAGCACCTTAAAGTATTACTGAAAAACACTCATCAGAAATTTACTAAAAAAAAAGCAAAACTGCTTTAATGGCTTGCCTGTGGATCCTTTTATGAAATCTACATTTTCTTCATGATAACAAGAGCAATGGAAGAAATTGGTAGCTTCAACATGTGCAACTATGCACACGTAGCATATTCAAAAGTTGCATTTATCTGCAGGCACTAATAGAAATCCCAGAGCTCCTTAAATCTTGGTAAACAGAAATCTCAAGAAATTTTCTTAATTGGTGCCAGGCATTGAAGGCCAACATATCACTAGCTACAAAGTTGGTGGATGGACTGGATCTAGATTATTTGGCAGCTGCCAAAAAGTCATGAGCACAAAAAGCAAATAAAGCAAATTTCTCACACGTCTGCTTTACTTCATCGCCCTCCCGCGGGGAAAAAAAAATGGCCCAGTTGATTTTATTTTATTTCCACTGTCTTTTAACATGCCTGGAGTTACTGATTTACTAACAGGCAGTCGGGCCACTTAAGGAAAGTCCTGTTGATGAAATGAGTTGGTGGCTGGGGAGGAAGGCAAGGAGAGGGAGTGAAAGAGATCTGGAAAAAAAGAAAAAGAAAAGTAGAAGTACAGCAACCTGAGCAAACTAATCTCGGGGTACCAAGCAATATTAACTTGTTGCCGCTTCTCAACTCTTAGATTAAAAGAAAGAGGAGGGCGGGAATCGAAGAAGCGACACCTTACAGCAGCATTTAACAGGCACGTCTGTTAAAAAACAACGCCACGGGAGGGGCCAGCTCAAGAAGGGGAACATTTCACCACGGAACTACGAAGGGACTCTACCGAGTAAAAAGCGTCTCTTTTTTAGCTCTGGTTCTGCCCAGGGCGCTGGGGTCGTAGTAGCAGCTCCCACCCCGTCCCCCGGCTCCATTTCCGTCCCCAAACGCGGTGCAAATTTTAGCCGGCGCCTCGGGAGAACGCCTCCACCCAGCCCTCCCATTCTGCAAGGTGCCGCGGAAGCGCCTCGCCTCCCTCGTCCCCTTTGCGGACGCGCTGCTGCTCCTCCCAGGCGCGCAAAAGCCTCCTTCGCCCCGTCCGCACGCCCTTTATTTCCCGCGACCACCTCACAAGAAAACTTTCCCTCCAGCCTAGGGCGGCTCCCCTCCCTCCGTCCCTTCTCCGCAAAGCCCGTCCACCACTCACTTCCAAAGCGGAGGCTGGAGAGGCGCGCAAGACCGCAAGCGCTCCGACCGACTGGCGTGTGCGCGAAAGAGGGCAAACTCCAAGCCGAAGCCCTCTCGCACCGAGCTCTTGTTTGCACTTCCGCCCCTTTCTTGGCCCCTCCCCACTCCGGCTCAGGAGGACCGGCGAGGTTGGCTCCAGCTGAGAGCGAGAGGAGGGAGGCGGGGGCAGCGGGCTACCTTCCGGCCCTGGCGTGCGCCTCGCTCTCATGCGAACCTCGGGCGCCCGCAGCTTTGCATGAGACCGCAATGGAGCCCTAAGACCAGAATTGCCGGCTTGAACGAGGACGGAGAAATAAAGACACCATTTAATGAAAACCCTGCCCAAATTCTAGTGCGTTAACCACGTTTAACAGGCTGAAGTTTCCAGGTTGGTGAATTTAGCAGAGTCTGCCAAGTCCAGTCGCCTCTTTAAGTCGATTTCTAATTTATTTTATTTCAACTGTGCATGAAAGCATGTTGCGTACACACGTGCAACAGGGGACCTGCGTGTCATTGTTATTCTGGACTATTGCCATCTTTGCTGCCATCTAGTGATCGTCTGGATTTTCTCAGGCGTAGCATTTCTTAGTTGCGGTTACCGCCGTAGACACAATTTTTATTAGCTTTTTTTATCCCTTGTAGATATTACATTATCAGACCAACAAGTATAAAACCAAGCTGAGAGAACACAAACCAATAATAGGACCCTAAGCTGTATGCATTCTTCTCTACTTGCTTATTACATTTAATACGAAGACTCTGGACTGTATATAATAAAAATACAAGCCAAAACAACAAAATAAAGTTCAGTGGAAAAAAATTGAACTACATCCCTTTGATCAATCAGTTTGGAAGCCATCATCTCCTTTAAAGGAAGCAGATTTATGCAATTCCCAGAATGTCTTTCTAGAGCAGAATTCTATTGACCTCCAAGGGTTGACAAGACTATGCATTATTATTATTATGCATAGTACTATTAGCTGAAGTAGTATTTATTATTGGATTTTTATTCCACCTTTTTTTACTTTATAAGTAACTCAAGGCAGCAAATCTATTTTTACTTCCTATTTTCCCCACAACAACTCTGTAAAGTGGGTTGACCTGAGAGAGAGTGACTGGCCCAAGGTCACCCAGCCGCCTTTCATGGCTAAGGCAGGACTAGAACTTACCATTTCCTGGTTTGTAGGCCAGCATTTGTTATTATCTTCATATAATAAATTTTGGGGATCAATAACTTCATCTGAAATTTTATGAAGGGGATGATAAATGTCTATGGAGATTCTCAGTCATCCAGATCATGGTTGTCCCAAAGGTGCTTTTTCAACATGTAACTGGACTTACTTATTTTTCTTTAAAGACGTTTCGCTTCTCATCCAAGAAGCTTCTTCAGCTCTGGGGATGATTTTGCAAAGTAAGAGCTATTACAGAGACAATATTTTAGATTATAACTACCAATTTGGAATTGATGGTCAAAGATGAAGAATGAACAAGAATCTGGATCGAGCAGGGCAGAACAAATCATCATTGCAAATCAGTTAAGGTAAAAATTGTCCATGCTCCCTGTTTGATGCAATCTTCTATAGATGCAAGCCTGGTCCTGAATCTGCTGACAGAAGTTTTGTTTGAACCAGATTATATTGCCAGTCTTAAAAAAAACTTCCTAACATGCTTGGTCACGTCTGCCTTGCTTAACCACCCACCATGACGTACAAATTCATCATCTCCTGGCCTGAATAAAATTAATTCACTTGTCTGTAGCACAAAAAAGCCTTATTCTTTCTGCTTCCAAGGACATTAGTCTCTCGCTACACAGGAATGAGCAGAAGCTATCTCGACCTCCCTTTGTAATAAGATTTTTGCCTTCTTCTTTTATGATGTCCATTTAGTCCTCCCAGTTATGTTCTCGAAGATCAAACCAGAGTTAACAGAAAACGTCTGTCTGGACATGCCTGACCTATAGTTGATTCATAGAGTACAGCAAAAACTCTGCTTAATTAAGGTTGTCAACTCTGTGCTGCAATTTGGACAACCACTAATAAAGAGTCAGAGAAACCTACTTCTTTGTTGCCATCTAGAATTTTGCAGTTCTAATAACCCTAACTTGGTGATCAACAGAACCTACAATTTTGTTTTGTCTTTATTTTCTTACTATGACTGCTCATTTATTTTTTCCTATCTACATGATATTCCAGTTGATATTCCAGTTGCAGCCCTATTAGTGTTATGATTATTTTACCCCTTGTATACAAAATATTTGTAAAGGCCAGATATAGTGTTGTTCACACAGTAAACTAAGCTGTAATGTGGTTTGCTTGTTCAGTGGGTTGTGTGAACTCAGCCTAAGCAATTATTCATGGCTAATCGAATTCCATTGTGGTTTACTTATTGGACTATAGATAGACCAGTCATGGCTTATTGCCATGGATGCTTATCATGTTTTTCTCTTTCCCAATATATTTATATTTGTGTAGTGTCCTACTAATCTACATAACAATAGCTCAGAGCAAAACCTTATATTGTTCTGTTCTAAGCTCAAAAGAAAATGGAAAAAAAGAGAGAGAAAAACTGAACTTTGCATGTCCACTATGAAAAATCTCAAGCTAGCATCATTATTCATAGGCTATGTGAAGTCAATCCACATAATTTTTGTTTGTTTGCTTAGCAAATTTATATAGCTGCCCATCTTACAAAAAGTTACTTTGGGTGACCGCCAAGCTTTTAAGCGGACTTATTATGTTTTGTGCACAATATTCATGACAACCAGGGAAATAGGTTAAAATAAATCTAGCATTTGCGAACATACTACTAAATGATGATTACCAACATGGATTTATGTTCAGCAAGAAAGAAATAGCATTATTTTACCATCAGACTTTCCAAAACTGAAGCCAAATGACTTTAATTGTTTCACCTTGACAACAAGGATGGGTGTACACCATCTTCTGCTTCACTTCTAAAGGGCAAGACTAGTCATCACAATTCAGGAGTGATTGTTTGTTATACCCTGTTGCTGCATACCATGACACCCGTCAATAAATATTTAAATACAGTATCGATCTCTACATACAATAATATAATACACACATATAGTCAGATACCTGTTAGGTTTGGTGTTATGCAAAAAGAGAAAGAGAGAGAGAGAAAAAAAACACTCATCTAATTACTGTTTTCCTCTAGGAGAAAAGAAAATATTAGCATGCTATAGCATGGCAGCTAATGAATCTAATGATTTATAGTGATATAAATTAATGATATAATCTTATATCTTGTCAGCTCAGCCATAATAAATGCCTTACAGAGACATTTGGTTGAGATCTGGCAGTAGTTATAAGTTAATAGTATTAATAATCATTTTGTATGTAATGAAATTTGTAATTTTGTATGTATGTATGTTTTATATAATGTAAAGTCTCCTTCGATTCAGGCTCAACTCTTGATAATGTCCATATAGTTTTCTTCGCAAGTATATGAAAAAGGTTTGCTATTGTTTTATTCTGATTTTGTTTTACTTAATAGTATTATCTAGACCAAGGGTCCCCAACCCCTGGTCTGTGGACCAGTACCGGACTGCAACATGCCAGCAACCGGTCCACAAAAACAAGCAAAGCCCCATCCGCGAGATGCAGGCAGCACACAAAACCACACACTCTCGGGTCCAGGGAAAAATCTCTCTCCACGAAACCGGTCCCTGGTGCCCAAAAGGTTGGGAACCTCTGATCTAGACAACAGTGATCTCCCATTCAAGTACTAGCTTAGATTGTCAAGATTAGCCATAGCTGCCTAAAATCTTTAATCCCCTTTTAAAACTGCGTATCTGTATGGTTGGTCACCACAACATTGCAGTGATGATGCAAAGGGTACATTAAACTAGTAATTAATAGGTTGTATAACAATAATTTTTCCCCTATTTCCTATTGTACCGTATTATGGTAATTTTCGCCATCAATCTATAAGAGTGCTACATTACACACTAGACCAAAACAACAAATCATGTTAAACTTAATTCCAAAAAAGATTAAAGCATCTTCTGCATAGGTTTAGTCTCTGAAGCAGTGTTTCTCAACCTTGGCAATTTGAAGACATGTTGACTTCAGTTCCCAGAATATTCTAGCCCAGTGGTTTTCAACCTTTCTAATGCCGCAACCCCATAATACAGTTCCCCATGTTGTGGTGACCCCCAACCACTTATACATCACCGGGTGCCAGGGGCATGGCCAAAGAAAAGGGGGAAAAATGGCGGACAGCCTTGTTTGGCGACCCCCATGAAATGGTCGTTCGACCCCAAATGGGGTCCCGACCCACAGGTTGAGAACCACTGTCCTAGCCAGTAATGCTGAGAAACACTTTTGCAGGGGTTCTCAGCCTTGGCAACTTTAAGACTTGTGGACTTTGCTGGCTGAGGAATTCTGGAGTTGAAGTCTACAAGTCTTAAAGTTGCCAAGGTGGAGAACCCCTGCTTTAGAGTATCAGCAGCATTTTCCCCAGCTCTCAATGGTCCTTTAGTCTCCTTACCTTCTCCTTTGAACTGGCCAGAGCTGTTTCCAAATTGGTCAATAGTGGAGAGCTAAACAAGGAAGTTAGTAGCCCCATACTCCATTTTCATTAGATTTGCCTTTGTTGCAATAGGAAAATAGAAACATCAAACCCAGAGTTTGTTCTGCGGGAGCTCACAAGAGTCATCACTCAGAACAGCAAGAAAGCAATGGGGGAACAGTGGGAAGGCATCACTGAAATTCAAAATGAGAAAGACAATCCCAGGAGGTGAGAAAATGGAAAGATTTTCAGAGTCACAAGCTGGTGGGGAAGAGCGGAGACAAGTAGAAATGGCAACTGTGTTATGATGCGGCTGAATTAAAGCAGAAAGGAAGTCTCTGCTCAAAAACAAAAAGTTCAGCACTAGAACAGCATGTCTATCGCTGGTACATGTCAGACTCATAAAACAGGGAAACTTGACACAGAAATGTCAAGACTGACCACTGACATTCACTGCTAGGAATCGGTGAACTGAAAAGGAATAAAATGGAATGGATACTACCCAGCAGAGAACCATTGTACCTTTGGAAGAAATGGAGGTAGTGACAGTTTTTATTTTTCTGGGCTCCAAGATCACCTCAGATGGGGACTGCAGCCAAGA